AATGTTTGTTAAACCTTAGTGTGTTTTGGGGAAAAACCCTGAATGTAAACACAAATTAAATTAATATTGTCCTTATATTAAAACACTGCATTACACTTCCCATTATGCTACTCAATTAACGTCTTTATGGACTGTAAAAGCCCATGTCTTTCAACCTCAGTTTGCTTTGTTAAGGATTTATAGTTTTCAGGCCCAAACTGATATTACTCAAGTGACCACGTGAGTAATTATCTCAGACTTTAGAAAGCTCCATTCAAAGCCACAGATGATATAACTATAACTGTTTTCACAGGCTGAGTAGTTCTCCCAATCAATAGTAAATTGACTTTAGTGTGTAAAATAAGTGGAGCATTGTTTCCCATTGTTTTATTGGTACCTGAGAACTGCAGGCAAAGGACGGGTGAGAGTGGTCATGTGTGTATTTTAAAAAAAGCCTATCTGCTCCCCACCTTTAGCACGACACCACCTGTGAAGCATAGTTGTTTTCAAATGTGTCTTATAAATAAATATTTGCTTACTTACTTTAAACATGTGGATCATGGAACAGTTCCAGGTATCCAAGCTGACGTTTGTATTCATATCTCTGTAGTCATAATTATACCTTTTAATAACTCCCAGTTTCCCAGTTTTAAATTCCCAGTTTTAAATTCACAGTTTTTTCCTCGCCCAGTTCCTCTGTGGCAGATTTCCAATCGGTCCATCATGACTTCCTGTGAATTAGGTTTTATAATGCGGCTTGTAGTGAGGAACAATGAGGTTTCCAAGCTTCGGCAGATCAGGGGTGGGGGTGGGTGGGCTGTTATCAATGACAACGAGGACCTCCTCACCTGTAAAGGTTGGTGACCTCTAGGTGAGAGTGCTCTTGCCCCCCTTCTATAGCCATCTCATTTTTGGGTCTACGCCCCCCCACTCTCTGGTCGGGATTCAATTACTGCTGCCTTGCTGACCCCTGACCTCTCTTCCACCGGGATGAACCTCATCTTCTGACCCTGACAGTGGTGCCACTGTTAACCCCTATCACTTGCTCTTTTGCCTCTCTCCCTGCTATCCTGTCTCCAAAAAGAGACCTTATTACATTGTTCTTAGTATAAAAGTTCACACCTCTTTGCTCTGTTCACTTGATACTAGATTATATATTCAGTTTGATTTAAAATATTTTTTAATACTGTTTGGCTGCACAAACACTGAAATTGTAGCTGAGATTCGTTTTCTCCATCATTGGACAAATTTATTTCTATTGCCATGTTTTAGAGTTTCTATTTTTCTGTATTTACAGATCGATCTTTCAACCTTGCTCTAAGCTGCAGTCGATGGTTGTTAAGCCATTGCTGTCTCTTAATCACAACACAGATACCTGTTAATTACCAAACGAGTTCAAGTGTTTTTGCTACTTAAACAGGGATTTGGGATCGATGCGTTGCTTTGCTCTGGGTCGAGCGGTGAGCACAGTTGACCATTTAATGAAACGTTGTGGGTTCTGTGCGCAGAGGCTGAAGGAGATGAAGAACAGGGAGGATAAAGCGATGGGTATATTAATAGGCAGCTGCATGGACGACACTGTTTGGTATTGGGTCAGGGATAAAGCATGAACTTGTAAACTCACAGAGGGGCCTCTCCTCCCTCCCTCCCTCTCGCTAACTCACTCGCCCTTCGTGGTGTCATCAGTTAGCAGAGCTGGGCTCGATAGCCCAGGCAGCTCTACGAGAGCAGCGATTAGACATCTCTCTGATTCTCAGCCCCAGCAGAGTTCACTCAAAGGTAAGCCAGTAGTTTACATCCTCAGAGACAACGGTCTTCCTCTGCCTTTGTTCTTTACCGTCTTCTGTTTTGCAAATACTGTATCTACTCGATGCTACTGGCTACTGGAGTGGGAGTTTCATGTCATCTCTTGAAAACACAACAATATAAAAATGTATTTCAAAAAACTAAACCCGCAGTTCTATAATATATAATCATGAAGAGGTCTAGAGTCCATATATTCTTAAGTAAAAGACCGTCCCCCTCATTCTCTATAGTTGTCACTGAAGAGAGCACCTCCCCCTTTCCTCTCTACCACTGACCAGTAGCCGTGACACAGACGCCCAGTCAGCTGCAGGGTTTATTCCAGCCGCCCAGCGTCTGAGGTGTGGTCCCAGTGGGCCGTTTTGCTGTGATCACAGCAGGCAGTGGGAGGTTAATCCCAAGAGAATACAGGCTCAATCTCCCCCCGCCTCCAGCCTGCACCCAGGAGCCTCACATCCCCTCCTGTATAATGGCCCGAGTTCTGTGGTCTGTAGCTGACACCTACCCAGATTTCACTTCTGCTCTGAGCTCTCAGATTATTCTGGCATTTCTAAAGTCCTGTAGATACTGTTACAGAGCGTAACAGAGAAGGCAGCTGACTTCTCACCTCACTTACAATAATCTAAATTAAGTAGATAAAAGAGGCTAAACACAGGAGCATTAAAACAATTTGAAGTTTTTACTGATAGCTTTGTTTGTCCTCCGAAATATAGACAATTAACTGTCATCAGTGACAGATTTGATTAGCTGCAGTGTAAAAGCAAATCTGAATTATAAATTATCAGCAAGGCTCAAATGTTAAGTTTCCCCATAAGTATTAATGCGTAATGCTAATAACATAGAGCGCCAACATATTCTTGGAAAATGTGTGCCTTACAGTATCCAGCTATGAGAATTAGCGCTGTTTTGATATACATTTAGTTTGTTCGAGCCCTGATAAATTATTTCAGATGGCAGAATATGCATCTGTTTTTCCCTGGAGTCTTTCGCACATATCTGTGTGTAATTAATGTGGAATTGACAGATGGAGGAAAAAAAAATGTACTTGTAAGAGAGAAGGGTACATGCCACAATGTGTGAAGTGCAAGCACGGAGGGAGCTTCTTGTATTATTTGCTGCCCGTGCCAGCTGGACCAGCCAGATTCTTACAGGTAGAAATTCAAGCACTAAATATGTGCAGAAATCATTTAAAATTCAGTCCCCACTATAAATAGGCCATGATTTTGTTGTTACAGTTGGAAATGAATGTGAAATGTTCTTAATGTTGTTCTAAATTTGGCTTTAGGAAATCTACGCCTTTCCTATACAGTATATCTCTATCCATGGTAACTCTCATGAAATATCCGATAAAGTGCTATTTATTTCAATGATAATTGTGACTGGAGGTCATTTTTAATTTAAATGCTTAAATTGCATTTATCTGTGTCTGTGTGTGTGTGTGTGTGTGTGTGTGTGTGTGTGTGTGTGTGTGTGTGTGTGTGTGTGTGTGTGTGCGCGCGTGTGTGTGTGTGTGTATGTGTCTGTGTGTGTATGTGTATGTGTCTGTGTGTGCACGCATGCTGTTGTTTGAAGCCATGTTATTTCTGAATGCATCAGGGTCTGACTTAAATATTAGTGTAACTACATTATCACAGTGTCTTTGCCTGGTAGCAAACATGTACAAATGAGGATTACAACTCTTGAGAAGGCAACAGGTCATGGTTGGTAAGCTGCCCGAGGGGGTCACTGATATAGAGTCACTTTTGACAGGCTGTGGAGGAGGCTCTATTGTTGCTGGTGTGTCTGGATGTTACCTGCAGGCACTATCACTGAGACTACAGTATTATCCTATTATTAGGCTTAGTTGTTTACGCTTATTACTGCTTGTCAGGTAGGCAGTGAATCCTTCTGAAAATGAGCATCTGCAGAAAAATACATGACTACTTCTTTATCTCATTCAAGTACATCGGCTTAATTTTCAGAGGCCTTTAAGAATGTGTTGATAGGACACAACAAACAGAAATTTAAGGTTTATGTTTACACGGGAGCATTTGATTCTATGAAATCTTTCACTGCACCACAGACAGCGTTGTTTGGCAGTCAGTGTAGGAATTTAAGAAACGATACATCTGTTTTATATGCATTAAAGCTGATAACATTATGGTCTTGCTTCAGTTAAAAGTACATACATACAGTGAGAGGACATTGTGGATCGAAACTGCCTCGATTAATGTCTCTGTTTGTAGAGGAAGCGAACAAAATCAAAAAAAAGCCCCATCATATGGTCTGGCAGATTTTGGGCACAGGACCAGGGATGACAAATGTGCTCTCGCAATAATTCAATCTGCTCTCATAATTCTCTAACTTTTAGGGACAGACAGAATGAACATTTTCCGGCAATTAAGCCGCCAAGTCAACGTCCAATAACTGTGATCAAGTGTTAGTTAAGATGCTTTTTCTCTCACTTTATCTATTGACAGATTGAGGGGTATAAAGATACTGGGTAAGTGGCAGAAAGTTACTGTGAATATGTTAACGAGAGGGATTGGTATCAGATCCAAGACGTTGTCATTTTTATTGATGTCACAGTAAATATATTAAGTTTAAGGAATAACAGAGAAGAGACGGAGATGTACTCTTTCTATAAAAATGAGCGTACTGCAGTTTGTGATTAGCACAGCCACAGTACGTATTCTCATGAGTGGTGTTGCCTTTTTAGGACAGTTTTATTTCATGCTTTTTATAACAATATTGTCTCCTGTTAATTTATTTCTAACATTTTAACATTTTAGCCTTGACAGCTGAAGGAAGACTGTGTTATAATCATGTGTCAAGCCAATAAAAGGCAAACCCAGCCTTCTGGTATCAGCTAGCTTTGTGAGGTTTCTGTACTCAGTTGAGAATACAAGCAGCTACTTAAAAAACAAACCACACATTTTATGAATAGAATAAAATTCCCACTTTATGGCATTTTTAAGTACAATAAGTTAAAGCTAAGAAAGTAAAGTGAAGCATCTGTTTTGAAATATTTAAACTAAGTATTGTTAGCTGCAGAGATGGCTGTCAAGCCTTGGGCAACGGGATGCACAAACAGCACATGGCTGCATTTAGAAAGCGAAAGGGATCAGGTACCGCTGTTCCTGGAACTGCCTCTGGGCCAATCACAATGTGTGCGGTGCTGTAGTAAAGTACTTTTCTCTATTAAAAGTAATGATATATGAATTTCCTTGTGTTTGCAGAAAAAAATGTATGTTCTGGTGATGGTTGATCCTGACGTTCCAAGCCGTACCAATCCAACTTCTGCTTACTGGAGGCACTGGCTGGTCGTGGACATACAGGTACAATACGTCTGCAATAACCTCTGCGCTCACTTAAAAACAGCCTTGTGTGTTTTGGTAAGGGTGACACGGACAGCATTTCTTATTGGATTAGGAGCTCATATGCTACAAATTTATGAAGTAGTGTCTGGAATTTTTTTTTCTTGAAAATTGTGCATTTTCATAATCTCGGGGTCTCACTTGGCATGTCTTGTGTTTACATCTGCACTGGGGCCGATTGCAAGGCTGAAAAATTATGAATGGTTTTTAAGCCTAACTTGGTGAAGAAAGGATGCCAAGTTCAAAAAATGTTAATTTTTCATATCATGTATCTTGTGCAATAAATGCCTGTGACAAAAGTGTGGGAGTAAGTCTTTCTAAATGGCTGTGAAAGTTTGCAAGGCCCTGTCAGCAGCAATTTCCCTCTGCTGCAGAGAGCCTGGGACGTGTCAATGCAGGCGTGTGAGACTGAGATTGAGGAGAGCAGGATGCGAGGCGCACACTCTTTCTCCCATAGAGCTCCAGTCCCTCAGCTCCCCCTCCAGTGGAGAGATCTTGGCAGAGTGTCCTCCCTTCATCTGTTCCCCCAGGCAGAGCAGCTCCCCCAATGATCCACACTTCTCCATATTTTACACCCCCGAAATGGGCACGGCTCCGATCCCCTTATTTCTCTTCATATTTCTCTCCTTTTTATCCATTCGTTTGTGTGTTTTCACATTCTTGCATTCTAACGCCAAATGCGTGTTGAGTTGTTGATTGCCTCAAATATTTGGAGGTTTGCAGACATTTTATAATCCCGCGGGGAACCGGGAGATCAACCCAGTAGATTAAGACTAGTGGTCTGAAAAACAAGCGCACAAAGACGCTTCAGCGATGTATCACTGCTCCCGTTTCATTTTATAAGGCGTTGTTGTACACTAAGTAAATGCCACATTGATTCAAAGATCCAAATGTGATGTATCTAGGATATATATTTTAGTAAACCTACAATAGGCATAAATTCAGAATTTTGTGATTCAGCTCATCTTTGCCGCACTTAAGAGATGATTTATGCAACGACATTCCTGCTTGCCTTTAAGAATATGTGAATATCATATCACTCACATACATCACTGATATACAAAAAAAAAAAAAAACCCAAGTAATTTCCACTTTATAAAATTGCATTAGGCATCACCTTTGCTTCTTATTTTTAAGCCCATAAAGTCTGTCTGGCCGTGTGACCAGCTGTGAATAAACAAATGTCTTTCAAGTGCTCAGACAGACCACATTCTCTCTAGCAATTCAATTGCCTGTCACTTGTGTGGGTGTTGACCTGCGTTGCCCATGTAGGGATTGGCCAATGTGACGGGATGTTTTTCTGATTGTGACTGGTGGTTGGTCAGAAGGGTTAATGAGCCTTTTGAGTGATGCCAACCCATAGTGGGAGGTGTTTAATTGACCAGGGTGGCCAGGTGACATCACACAACCTCAGTTTTGTTTTTTCAAGTGTCGATGTGAATCTATTGGATTTTGTTTCAGTGTAGTTGTGATTTTGACAGGAATGTAGTTGAATTTATGAATTAATGCACTTACACATAATTCAGAAAAAAAAAAGTGATTAAATATGATTTAGAAATTATCCATTTGTTATCTGTTTATAAGTTGGTTCCATCTGTATATAATGTAAACAAAGTGAACCTCAGGACAGTATCATGTTTGGCATTGAAATTGAGATTTCTGGCAATGTGTTAGACGGTAGATTGTTTTGTAAAGCAAAGTAGTTTCTTTAGCTGAAGTCAGGGGTCATGCTTTCGAATGTCAAACGGATCAGTGTTTTGATCCTCGCTCGTCAAACGGTGCGAGTTGCAGCAGCCATATTCTTTTCATATATATTCATTAGTCCAAGGTCATGCAGTCTTGCCCCAGTTTGTGGGTGTTTCCATAATTAGTGTGTATTCTTTATCCATAGCCACAGCTATGAAGGTAAAAGATTTCCTTAATTCAGCCGAGAGTGAAGTGAGGTCAGGCTGGACTGAGCAACGAGGCACCGTAGATTTATTTAGCCGAGGTCTCATTAGAGAAGCAGTGGTAACAGAACAAGGACACATCGGACTACCCAGTGTATTATAGACACAATACTCACCTTGCTTTGAGCAGTTTTATCTTCACTCACCAAAACATGTGCTGAGGATCTCCTCACTGTGTGTCAGCCATGCCAAAACCCTCTTGAACCACAGAGAGAGGATTTTGAGAGTCTGATGTTTGTCACATGCTGCACAGTGCCTCACATACATACAGTATTCATCCACACCTACAGGGTAGAGCCTTATAAGAAGCAGACATAGCATTATAGGAACAGGACGTTTGAATGGTCTCCCTGAAGAGAAAAGACTTTGTTTGTTACACTTGTTTCTGAAAACCTGTCATTCATTTCTGATAAGTTCTTCTATATGGATGGTTGTGTTTTAGGAAGAGAGCCTCTGTTGTGGCAGATTTTATGTGTCAAGCTTTGGACAGAAGACAGAACATTTTGTTGGTATTTTTATAGTATGTGTAAGAAGTTATGATCTTGTCTGACAAATCTGCCCTTAAGTTTTCAGGCTGACTGGACAAACTGAGTAACAGATGGACAGGATGTCATGCCTTCGTTTTATGTCTTTTAGACTGATTATTTCACAACGAAAAATCATTGACAGACCACAGATAAGACCTTAAAACTGCACTCTAACATACGAAACACAGTATTATCAACCACAATGTGTAATAACTTTGAAATTATATAATTAATAAATATGCAATTTAAAAGTAGCTTAACCACACCTACATGAACTCTTCTCAGAGGGTGAGATGGCAGCTAATGCTACTCTGCAAAGCTAGGCTAGTTACCGTTAGCACGACCAATTCAGCTGTTCTTATTCTCCATGACTGGATTCGTCTTCTCTCTTATTTATGTGGGATAACAAACTAAATTACTTAGCTAATTAAAACCTTTAAAACTAAAGGAAACACGTAACATAATTATTATTATTAAATCGTTTTAAAAAAAAGACTCTGGTCTTAACTACATTTTGACTAAACATGTAGTTACCGTATTTGCGTCCTTGTCAGCCACAAATGTTTTACCACTGCAACAGTATTTTTGGCGTCTTATAAGTTCATGTGGGCTGGACTTTTGTACATGTATGACACAACAAATAATGTTACTAACTAAGTGTGTAAGACAATCATAATTTAATGTGTATGTCAGGTGTCAAATCTTTTATTTAACTGGCTGTATCACTGATCACATCATTACTTTTGACAGTCAAGAACAATTTAATCCAGCAGTTAAGTGTAAACTGTGTGGGTGTCTCGTCTTCTCCCACCAGCTGTCTACTTTCTTTTACAACTCACATTATTAGATGCTGTATATGCATTTTCATCACAACTGCCCATTTTCAATGACCTCTAGAGCTACAGAAACAGTAATTTAGAATCTCCTGCAACACTCTGTGTTTTACATCAATTATGGACAATTACCAAAATAACCATCAACAGATTGTTGTCAAGCTCTTGGAGTCGAATTCCAGATTGTGAGCCTCTCCCTCCCTCTCTCTCCTCTCCCAGAGTCTAAATCAATGCAGATGTTCCGGTATGGTCTCACAGCAATAATTACTGTAACAAGCAAATCATTAGTATCTGAATAGAGGCAGGTTATATAAATACAGCACTGGGTGTTACTTTTAGTTGTTAATACTTATTCTCTCATTATAGTTTTGGCGGTTCGAGAGTCAACATGATGCAATATGAACTTGCAAAACAGTGCTACAGTTAATGCTCTTTTCTGCGCTGAGAAAAGCCAAGGTGTTCATTATCACTGTAAAATCCCATTTAAACAGAGATGTATAGCCTTAGGTTTTTATGGATTTTTTTCTTACTTTTTATAATGTATGAAGTTTCTCTGCTGAGGGTTTGTCTCCATGAAAGGTATTAGTTGTCTGACATACTCAACTTTTTTCTAATAATGTTCAGAAAAGTTAACATGAGGTTAGTTATTGGATATTCTGTGCTCAGATTGTTCTTTGTGCAATGATTCTATAAACACTCACTTAACAACATATTCAGACAGTATGCATATGTCCACCTGAAGCAAAAGCATTACGGCTATTAACTTTCTTATTGTTTAATTGGACTGAATAGCAGTTTTCTTACAGACAAGCTACATGAAATACATTTTACACAAGAAAAGAGATTCATGGCCCCTTGTAACCTGTTCAGGCTGTGGTCACTTCTTCACTTCCAGATCCACTTCAAAAAGGTCTGTGGATTGGAAGCCTTCAAATGTTTGTTAACTTCCTTTCCTCGGCTAATTGAGGGCCAGTTGGACAGTTCAGCACACTGCGTGCTGTGCTCATTATTATGATGCATGAGGGATATGCATGCTTTAACATCCATCTCTGTTTTAGCAGCTCCCAAAGAGGGACAGAGCCTGTGTTCTGCTGCTGGTCAGGCAAATACAAACAGTGAAGTATTGTGAGTGTGTCAGACCAGCTGGCTTTGTGTTTGTGAATTCTGTGGCCTGCAGAGATCGCCTGCTCCACACCTCAAGATGTCCTTTAACTATTAGGCGTGTAACTCCTTGCAGTATTTCATTCATTATTTAGCTCTTAAAAGGATAACACTGATGTTATTCTATCTTTTTGTTATTATCACCCATTCACCTTAACAGCCCACCACTCAAAAATGATTATCTTTTCATACAACTGTTTATGCAGTAGTGATTGTAATGAAGAAATAGTGTGTGATAATCTATGTCATGATACGTCTCTTTTACTAGCATTTCATAGTTTTTAGAACAATAGTTCATGTCACAGAGGAGTAAGATACACCAGGTCGTAGCTGCACAGACAGTACTTGAGAGATTTCTCTCATGATACAAGTGATGAAAAAATAACAAGTTGCAACCAGCTTATCCTTCAAAAGTGCAGCCAGGACGGTCCTTTAGTCACGTATAGCATGTCCTCTTTGTCTTGTCACACAAACTTTGCAACATATACATT